AGAGAGAGAGAGAGAGAGAGAGAGAGAGAGAGAGAGAGAGAGAGGGAGAAGACGGAGGTGAGGAGGAGGGGAACGGGACCGTGGAGGGAGGAAGCGATCCTCGCCTCCTGGTACCTGCCCTGCTGCTGCTGAGGCGGCGACGGCCGCCGTGCTGCTGCTGCTGTCCTCGCTGCTGCCGCTGCGCTAGCTCGCGCTGCTGCTGTCCTTCCTCCTGCGCTCAGAATAGCGCTCAAACGGCGCTCTGGCGCCGACCTTACCGCACCGCGTAGAGTGCCGGTGGGTCGATCCCTGACTGAGGCTGGACCGGTACCTTTGTACCGGTGGGCAGAGGTCGGCCTCTATGCTGCAAGGCCTGACCGTGCCCTGGACCGTCCAGATGGACGGTTCAGCCCCAACCGGCGGGCGGCAGCCTCAAGAGCGCCGCCAGGCCCAAACGGTAATGTCGTTTGGCCCTGCCCGTCGGGTCTGGTCCAAGGTGAGGCCTTTATGGCCTGTACTACCCCAAGGTCGGGCCTTTAGGCCCTGGTGTGTCCCTCTAGCCCTAAGTCGGGTCCGGTAGGACCCGTGTGGCGTTGAAGATGTAACAGTAGTGTTCATCCAAGGCCCCTTTGTCAGGGGAAGGGTAAAGCTAACATCTTTTTTTTTTTTTTTTTTTTTTTTTTAAATTGAATTGAACATCAGTTATCAATTATCCTATTAGAGCCTCAAGCTGCTAACGGTGCCACATCGGGCGCAGCTTGAAAATCCCCTACTAATAACTACTAATAACATCAAAGACTCACCAAGATAGCTACTAGTGCCTGGGCAGATTCATATTTGCGAACGGGGAAAAAAAGAAGAAAAAAAAAAAAAAAAAAAAAAAAAAAAAAAAAAAAGAGGAAAATCATGGAGATTCTGGAGAGAAGATACCCATTGTACTGACTACACCTCCAAAATGTTTAACAAGTCGGGGTTTGCTGTTCGATCGTGTAAAAGCATCTACTTGCAAACAAAGGGCACAACAAGAAACCAGTCCATGGCTTTTAAACCACCCACCAGTACCTCCACGTTTTTAGGCCGTTAACGAGGTGGCTGAATCGGTGCGCTGCTCAGGTTTATCTGCATTTGCCTCAGAGCCTCCCCAGAGGGGGCCTAAAGCCTAAGACCGCCTGGGGTACTAGGTGGTCTTTTTTTTTTTTTTTTTTTTTTTTTTTTTTTGGGAAAAGCAAGGCTCCAATCTATTTGTGGGGAGCAGCACGTGCTGGGAACCGGGCCCACAGTGTCCCAAATGAAAATTTAACAGATGGATTGAAATTTGAAAGTACGACTGAGAAACATCCCCTGTAACTTCAGGGACAAAGAAAAATACTAAATACTACATAATAGTATAATACCTTCAGTTTTTTCAACTTTTTTTTTTGTCTATTAAAAAACAGTTAATCTTCTCCTCTGAGCAAAAAAGCATGCGAGCGAATGTGACCATCTTGATCTGCACTGGAAAGTTGTGGGAACACCTTTTTTTTTTTCTTTTTTTTTTTCCTAGTATGGAGTCTCTGAAAGTTCTGTTCATCTATGGCTGAGCTTTTTTCTCACATTTAGCAAAAAATAAATGGATTAAAAAAAAAGAAAAAAAAAAGGGGGTTAAACACTTCACTTCCCCACTTTCTTATGTCAATTACTGCAATTTAATGTGCCGGTACGCCGTTTCCATGGAAAAAGGAACGGGAAATCAAGGGGACACACACACTAAGGGCCTCGCTCCACTACACAAACACTCTTCATGCATTTAGACGCTCTCTGGATCAGATACATCCGGCATGTTGGATTCTTCCGAGTGCATCTGGTCCATGAAGTTGTGCAAATGCATGTAGAGTGTTGCGTAGTGGAGCGACACCCTAAGGGTCTGATCCCACCACTACACTACGCAAGTAGTGACGGAAAAGCACTACAATAGTGCCAGCGTCAGCTACGGGCCCGGCTACAGAAAGCGGGTGTCAGCTACGGGCCCGGCTACAGAAAGCGGGATCCGACGACACCGACTTCCTCGGTGGTTTTCCTGGACCCGCGGCGACTTTCCATGGGCTGCATTTTTAGGGCGGACATTTCCGTTGTACCGCCAGACGACATGTCACACACGCATGTGGACCTCGGACGTTCCTAACGGGCTGGACGGACAACTAAAAAAAAAACACACACACAAAAAAAATGTTCCCTCTTTTTCGCGGCCGTTGTGGTCGAACCGTCTACACAAAAAATGTAGTAACTTTGCTCGAGCCCTTCGCGGTCGTGCTGCCACGATATTCCGACACGAAATGCGTGCAAAATATTTCGGCGAACTCCACAACCGTAGTGTAGTGGTGGGATCCCGAAACTACAGTGTAACACGCTGTGGGATCCCAAAACTACAGTGTAACTGGGCTGTAGTGTAGTGGTGGGATCAGACCCTAAGAATTAGTAATAATTTAAGAAATGAATAATTTTCGCACAGATACAAGAAGAGCCCTCCACCTCAGTTCGAAGCCTGAAGTTGAAGGCCTCTGAGAACATAATTATTAATTAGTAATTAGCCTCTTTTTTTTTGTTTTTTTGTTTTTTTTTTTGGAGCAGAGGAATGCCTATTGGAAACATAGACGCCATTGTAGAAACTGCGGAGATGAAGATCCACTGCACCACAGGTCCAGATACGCTGCACCAGAGGTCCACATCCGCACCTGGTGCAGATCTGCACCACAGGAGCTGGTGCAGATGTGGACCTCTGGTGCAGCGTATCTGGACCTGTGGTGCAGTGGATCTTCATTGCTGCAGTTTCCACTGTACCGGTAGTGTGTATATTTGCACTCGTCTGTACCACATATCAGACACCTCTCTTCTTCTTCGTCGTCGTCGTCGTCTTTTTTTTTTTTTTTTTTTCATTTTTGATTTCCTTGTTGCTGTTGTTCTGGTTTGTTTGACACACAAGCATAGAGCAAGCAGGTCTATGGAAAAGGGGTAGTACCGTTATACAGAGAACTAAGCGTGTATAATAAAGAAGCGTTCTAAAAAAAACAAAAATAGAAAAATGATGGTTGAAGAGGATGCTGGGCCCGGTTCCCAGCCGTGTTGCTCCCCACGAATAGATTGGAGCATCGTCTCATTAAAAA